CATTTTCATTGAGAATGGTTAGATTTTCATAGTTTTTGTATGTATGGTATATGATTTTGGACCATGTCTTGGACAATGTGACTATAACATTGCATGGCCTTTGGGTCTTGTTACAATCAGTTGGAGGATTGTTTTAGCAAGTAACCAACCAGGTTTGATTCAAACAAGCTCATTCTTGATTTCCTGTGAGTGGTAGTGACAATCTCACTTTGATTTTCCAAGCCTTTGCTACATTTGTTTGCATCTGTCCTGTTCATGTCCTGAGACTTGAAGATTCAAGCACATAATTAAGGAGAGTTCTTTCTTTTTAAAAAAGATTCATTTTTTTAAAAAAATGGGTATGGATGTTTAGAGTACTTGAATGTCTGTTCACCACATGTGTACCTACTTGAATGCCCTGAAACTGAAGTTACAGATTGTCTGAACTGTCATATGGCTGCTGGGAATTGAACCTTGATCCTCTGGAAGAGCAGCCAGTGCTCTTCCACTGAGACACCTTTCAGTTTGGAACATTCTTTCTTTCTCAGCTTTGGGATTTTCTTCTCACTCTCACTTTAAACTACAGGGAGTCCTTTACCTGGACAGAGAGACCTTTTGTTGTTGTTGTTTTCTTTGACACTCGTCTGTTTATCTGGCCACACCACAGCACGTACCAGAATAGAGTTCTGCCTTTGAGACAAGTATCTCCTACTCAAGAGAGGTGGCAGTAATGCTGCATTTCCCAGCCAGGAAAAGCTACTTCTCTGCATTTGGGGGCTGTACCGGCCCAGGCCCAGCAGCCTGGAGGGCAAGGTCAGATGCAACCTGGCAGAGGATAAAGGATGAATCTCAGATGGTCTTGAAGTGAGAAAGCTCCGACCTTTAATCATGTGAAATCAAGGGCAATATAAACCCTGACCATAGGGAGGGATTTCAAGAGTGAGTGTGTTTGATTAGCTGGGGTCAGAGAGTCAGGGCTATTGTTTTGATCCTCTCATGAGAAGGAAAATAGAGTACTTAATTATTCTACTGGGGAAGGAGGAGGTCTCCAAGTACAATTGAAGGTCACTGCTGGTCTAAGATTCTTAGTAGGGTGGGGCTTTTCTGCCTGTAATCTGCCCTGAGGGCTATGTGAAGACCTGAAATCAAAAGGGAGTCTATCATCATAGTGCAAATAAATTCAGTATCTGGGATGACCAACTTCAACTTATCCAGCAGAGCCCCTTTTCAACCCCACAGTGCCCTGAGCCCACATTTTACAGGTCCATGCTTCCTGTCAGACCTGTGCCAAGACCAACCCACAGGGGGCACTCCAGCTACGTCAGCCTGTGCACCAGCTCAGAGGACGCCAAGTGGGAGAGGACTGGAAGATTGACTTCACCCACTCTCTCTTACCCCCTGCTGACACTTTCACAGGTTAGATGGAGGCATTTCCCCCCTCCATGGAGATGGCAGATGGGGTAGCTCAGGTGCTCCTCGGTTCAGCTTGCCACAGACCATCCAAACAGACAACAGTCCAGCCTTTACCTCCTGGGTCATTGAGCTCCTGTCTGAAGCTGTTAACACATCCTGGAAACTCCACATCCCCTACCACCCACAATCCTCGGGAAAGGCTGAGAGCTAACAGACTCATCAAACAGAGGCTCACCAAGTCTCTGAGCTCAGGTTTATCTTGGCCTTCCCTTCTCCCCATTGCCCTCACCCGACTCTGAGCTACTCTGCATCTCCTACAGGTTTAAGTATGTTTGAAGTCCTATACAAAGGCCATTCCTTATGCTCCCTTCTCTGCTCACATGCTGCCTGCTCCCATGCCAATTGCTCCTGAGTGCCTGGCTCTCCCCAGGGGACTGAGTATTCCTTAAGCAGTTATCTCCCAAGTCTCTAGAGTATCTGTGGAAACAACTCTACCCTGTCATCCTCACCACTCCTTCAGCCACCAAGCTCCTAGGACACCAGTGCTGGCACCATGTCTCCAGGCTCAAGAGGGCACCTACCCAAGAGGAGTAGTCTGTCTAACAACTGGGACCTTCCTACTCTCATTTCTCCAGAATGGATGGTCAAACCAGGGCACCTCCCCCTGGACTGGTGGCAGTCTCCTCTGTCCTAATGGTTCACTCCAATAATAAGACCCCTCATTCTCACTTGCCTATTTTTTTCTTTTTACCCCCTGCCTCCTCTGCCTTCTCTAGGAACATATTCATGAGGTCTCATGGGTAACAGTCAGTCAAATGCTTCTTCTCCCAAACCTCAGACCCACCAACTCCCTACTCCCCAGCCCATTGCCATCCCTTTTCAACAGGAAGTATCCAGACGTGAATCTGTGCCCATACACCCAAGGAGGTAGGATATACAGCTGGGGTCCCCGTTCCTCCCTCCCCCTACCACCTTCCCAACATTGTCAATAAATGTCATTCCTCTCTCCCTCTCCAACCCCACCAGCTCAGAAAGCTCCAAAATCCCAGATAAAGGCTCCAAAAGCCAAGCCCTGCATTCCTGACAGTTGTCCCAAGCCCTCTCACCTGAAGTCATCAGCCCCTCCAAGCGCCACCTGAGATAAACCATACCTGGGCACAAGCTGAGCCTGTGACAGACACATCATTTTCCTTTACCTACAATCTGAAAAACTTTCCTGTCATGGTCTGCCCTTGACTTTCTCTGGTCTTATCTCCTGAGGCTGAACTTGTCCAGGAGCCCATTCCCAAATATACCTGTCCTTTTCTTTCTTTCTTTTGGCTTGAATTGGCTTAATTTTGTCAGCGGAGACAGCCTAGCAGTGCACTACATGTGTTCCTGGTGCCCATAGAGGCACAAAGAGAACGTTTGACCTCCTGGAACTATGTTTATGGAAAGGTTGTGAGGCACTGTGGGTGCTGGGCACCAAACCTGGATCCTTTGGAAGACTAGCCTGTGCTCTTACTACTGAGCTATCTTTCCAGCCTCTCATGATCTACTCCTAATTTAAAGATTCTCATATCATTTCTTTCCATATTTTGTACAGAGATTTTTGGCTGTAGTGAATGTCAGAAATCAGCTGCTTCCCAGCCTGCCCTCAGGGACTGAGCGCCAGAAGCTGCCTAATCACTAGTTGCCAACCCACTGAAAGGTCCCCACCATCCCCGGTCCTTCTCTTCTGTCTCCTGATCTGTCGTCTGTTTCTCTCTCTCTCTCTCATATTCCCACACTGAGAGGCCCTTTTGCTCCCCTGCCCTAATAAATCTCTTGCGTGAGCTCTGTTGTGTGGAGTGACCCTTGCAACCTACCTTAGCCTGGACCCAACAAGGTACTCTGGTGCTAAATCCTAATAGGAAATGGGAGTGAGTTTTGGGTAGTAGTTGGCTTCCTGGATGTGGTGATACTGGGCTTTCCCTGGCTTTGTAATTGGATTTTCTGAAATTTTATAGGCATTTCACTCTAGAAAGGCTCCGTTCTCTGTCTTAGGATCTTAACCTGTGAAAACAGTAGTCTCAATCTCATCGTTACTTTCTGGCATCATTTTCAAGGGATAAAATATGATGGGCACCAGGCGCTACTAATTATCAATAAACATTAATGGTTATTTCTGTTCACATTAATGGCTATTTCTGTTCACATTTCCATAAAACTGAACACCGCAGGCTAAGATTGTTGGAATGAAAAATTAAGACTTAAAAACTTGCAGGTTTTCACATGGTAACTACCAGGAAACTAGTTGTTGAAAGAAAGAAAAAAATTAGCAATATTTTAATAAGCAAAATATCCTATGCCAATTTTGTGGGCATCAACCAGCTCACCAAAGATCTTGATGTTACGGAATTTTAGCAGAATTATATCTGGCAGAAATCTGGAGTGATGGCTCTTAAGCTTTGAAACAGTCTTTTGTTGATGATTGTTATTTGAGATTTTTGGGGTTATTCCTTTGAAGGTTTCTCAGAACCTTTGCAAGTCTTGGTCAGGAGATAGGCCTGGTAAACCACGAAGTTTGTCATGTCTGAGAACTTCATGGGTGATGGATTTTTCAAGGTAGCCACAAGACCAGGTAAGAGCTTTAGGTATGCGGAAATTGACTTGCTAAGGGTGCCCCTTTTGAGTAACAATAAAAAGAGCTTCTAGGAAGCTGTCAGGGTTCAGTCATTCAGTGGCAGATCCCACTGCTACTGAGAAGCCTGAATTTATCCCTTAGTGGTTCTCTTTCTTCGCTCAATTGTCCAGTGTAACCCACCAACACAGACACCTCGACAAGCAACATGGATGGCATTAATCAAAATGTAAAGTCGGAAGATTAGGGCAGCTTGCAGGTGCCTCACAACCACCACACTGAACAATGAGGAACACTGCTTTCCCAGTGAAATGATCCACTGTCCCCTCCTTGCCTCTTGAGTAAATTTTGGTATATGATGGGGGAGACGGTGGTAGTTTTAAAAAGAATAGCCCCCATTGGCTCATAGATTTGAAAGCCAGCTCACCAGGAACTAGCACTATTAGGAGGTGTGGCCTTTTTGGAGTAGGTGTGGTCTTGTTGGCAGAAGGGCATCACTGGGGAAGGGCTTTGGAGATTCGTGTTTTTCTCTCTTCCTGCTGCCTGCTGATCCATATGTAGACCTCTCAGCTACCCCTGTAGCACCACGTCTGCCTGCGCACCACCGTGCTTCCTACCATGATGATAATGGACTAAACTACTGAGCCATAAGTGAGCACCAGTAAATGCTTTCCTTTATAAGCTGTGGTCATGGTGTCTCTTCACAGCAACAGAAACCCTGAAAAATGGCAACCAAGATTATTTGTTCTGCTAGTTGGAAAAGAAAACACAACTCACAGAATATCTCAACTTGATGATCCTAAGAAGTTTGGCCCAATTTTCTTAGTCACACCTGCGGTTGATAAACTGTTATCGTGGTGTCTGAAATGTGATCTCAGCATGTAGGGCTGGAAACATTTTTCACATCAGGTCCCAAGTACACTGTCCAAGGGTTCATGGCAGCATCCATTCATGTCAAGAGATATAAGACTTTCTATTGTCAAAAACTCATGTAAATTCTTAAGGCTAGATTTATGAAAGTTTTTATTTGTCAGTGCTGTAAAGCATTCTCATCGAAATTGCTCTGTTAATCAAGGGAAAGGCACAGTGGAGTTTGTGTCATTCAAGTATCCCAAACTGGAACTCACAGCACATTCTTCCTCTGAGATGTCTAGCTGCTGTGGTGGGTCTTCACAGCTTTGCTTTTCTGGACACGAAGCTCATGATTGCATTGATGCATTCTTCTGACAGCCATCTTGCTTTTAGGGTAGTGCACTCTTCATCGTTAACTGCATGGAGCTTTTCTTTCACATTTTTTCTGATTAGCTCTTTGGAAATTCTCATGGCCTGATGGAACAAAATCAAGAGTTACATTAGTCCAACAGGAAATGGGATTGATTAGTCTATTCTTGTCCTCCACTGTAATGAATGGATCCTGTTAGATTTTACTAAGACTTGTGAAACATAACACACCTTTAATGTATACAGAGCTAACTCCAGTACGAGTGGGAGACAGCTCTGCTATTGTACATTCTAAACAGCCCTATATGGCTGCAAAAGCATCAGCAAGAATGTAAGAGCTATAGGTGCCAGCTGCCGCATACACAAATGGAGTGCTATAGAGTGAGGATCTCCTAAATATAGTCACCTCCCACCTGAATTCCAGAGTAAGAGAGCTGAGTGTCTACTGTCATCTCCTGGGGTCATCCCCATAAAGGATCTCCCCTTTGCCTTTGTAGCACAGAAACAAAATGACTATTGTTTGTTTAAATCACAATTCCCAACATTATAGTACCTTTTGATACAAAATCCAGATGTTGTGCTTAAAGCCAACTAAAGATATATCTTGTCTTTTTAGGATGTGTCCTCTAAGGCACATTCTCCCCTTGGGAAATGGTTTCCATGGTCCCCACAAGTAAAATCCAAGTACTAACGTTTGGCGGTAACTTTGCATATGTTTTCAGCCTGCTCCAGACTTCCTCCTCAAAAGTGCTTTCAGGAAAAACTTCAGTGACAAGGCCTTGAGCCCAAGCCTCTCTTGCTGTGAGCTTCTTCCCAAAGAGAAGCATCTCGGATGCCTGCAATGTAAAGCAAGATGTGACCTTAGCTCAATAAACCTTCAGTTGACTTCAGAACAGCTCACTTTCAGGAGACACAGCAGGACTCAAGGGTCTGCAAACAGCTGACACCATAACTGCTTCTGTCTCCTGAGGGACTAGAAGGGCAGCTGCTTCTGTGAGAGTCTGCACTGAAGTGGCAAGAATGGGAAGGCCAGGGCAAATACGGCCTGAGCCCCATTAAACACTATAAATGATAGTAAAGTGGGGTGGGGCAGAAACATTGTATTCATAGGGCCAACCTTTTGAAGCATTCAAAATTCCATTCCCTTACTTGATGTCTAACATTTGAGCTTTGAACATCTTCTTCACCTGCATAGGTACTCAAATTACTTCTTTGTGAACGAAGGGACTCAGGGGTGGCTTATATTACAGTTCTATTAAAATCAAGGACAATGAACAAATGTTCTTTCTATAGTTGTATTTTTTCCTCTGAAAACATGAACAAATTGCAAATGCTTTAAGTATGAAGAGCTTGTTTTGTTTGACTCTTCAAAGCTTAACTGACTCAGTCTCTACTCCAGTCTCTGTGATGACCGCAGGATTAGGTTGATGACAGCACAATGAGGTTAATGAAGTGGATGTACACACACACACACACACACACACACACACACACACAGTATCTATCTATCTATCTATCTATCTATCTATCTATCTATCTATCTATCTATCTATCTATCTATCCATCCATCCACCTATGTGTGTACATGTGGGACATTTATGAAAAGGAATCTAATGGTCATCAAGCAGCCTCCACCACCATACTGAGATGGTGAGCAATGCCTGCTAAGCCCTTGCCTCTAACCCCCATCTCCAGTCCTGTCTTGGTGTCTTTGGAGTCACTCCACAGAAGACAGACAACTAGGTTTGCACAAATACAGAGCTAGATCTGAGTGGCCAATGGGCCACCTTAGGAGTCTCAGTGCACAACAGAACAGCTTGTAAAACACAACTGTGACTGCGAGTCACAGTGACTATGACTTGATGGGGCTGTTAAGAGCTGGTGACTGCTGGTACTCATATGGCCCCAAAGAGAAGATGCCACCATGTCACCTCTGTGAATGTTTGAAGTGAAGTTTCTGGTTTCTTTGAAGACACAGTTGAGTTATGTGATGTTTTGCTGGAGGCTGGCTTGTGAGAGGACACGTGATGCTTTGCTGTGAGCTTTCTCATGTGAGGGGCGTGACTCTGGGTAGCTGAGAACATCCATGGGTGGACTCTGAGAAGTGGAGATACACTGAAGCCCACTCACAGCGACACATCAACTTTTGGATCAACATCCCTGCGCTGATCTTTGTGCTTCGAAGTTTGACTTCACAGAGAGAAACATTCCAGAGAGCTTCTCAGGGCAACCCAACTGCAGTGTTTGCTTACTTGTCCTGACCTTCCGAAGAATACTAATTGGTGTTGCTGCTTGGTGTTGGCCTTTGGACTGGACTGCTGGTATCCTGATGACTGAGTTTGGTATCCCCTAAAGACCCATCAAGCCTAATCAGCAGGAAACAGGCCTATAGACCTTTTCCCCACTAATCTCCTATCCTAAGTAAGGTCTGGGGGTTGGAAGGGAGGTAAAGGTGTTTAAGACACGTAAAGTAGGTTTGGTGAAAAATCTAGGCCTACAGCTATTGCTTTCAGTCCTGAACTGATCACACCTGGAGAGGCGCCACATAACTGTGGAGGACAAGGTCTTGTGTTCCAGCTCTAGACTGCCAGCTGTCAGGAACTGTCCCTGCATTAGGAGGTGCAGAGAGAATTCCTGTCCCTTCCCTTATATCAGATTACCCCCTGGCCTGGTTCCTGCATGTTGCAGAACACACAATCATCCTGGAAGCTTTGCCCAAGGGAAAGAAGACAGAGTACAGGATTGGCTTGGCAACACATACAACATTTTAAGTTTTTCTAAGTTACCTTTGCTGAGCCCATCATCTTTGGAAATGTGTACGAGGAGCATGCTTCTGGGCTCTGGCCGAGGTGGCTGAATGGAGTATGAAATGTTGCCTAGTTGGGATTGAGAGAGATAAAAAAAAAAAAAAAAAGCATTTAAAAATGACTATTTGATTTTAAATTCAAATTTGCATATGTGCGTTTGAGACAGGGCTTGCTACATAGCCCAGTGTGGCCTAGAACTTAACGCTCTCATGCCTCAGCCTCTTGAGTGCAGGGATTACAGGGATTACAGGCGCACTACCTGTCTAGCTTAGTATTCCTAATTGTTGAGGACATTTAAATTAACGTTGTGTTATACTATGCATACGACACGCAACTCACTTGTAGTGTGGTGTGTTATCATTGTTTTACAAATATGTAAATTATGTAGCCACCAACAATTTCAGCAGAGAAAATATTTATTATCCCAAAATCCCCTTGTAGCCTCTGTGGGCAATCTTTTCCTTCTGTCATCCCCATAGCCAACAATCTGCTCTCTGTCCCTGACGCTTTCCACTGTTCTAGGACGTCACACCCATGGGATCCTATATCCAATAGACCTTTGTTTTTCGCCCTTGTGACTTGGTATAAGGTCTGGGAGTCATTCATGTGCTACTGCATACTGGTAGCTTCTTTCTTGTTATTGCTGTTTTTATTGTGTGTACGTGTGTATGCTGTTGACCAATATACAAGGTAGTGCCTTTCCTAATGTTTCCATTGTTGTGGCCATTATCAGTAGGGTCAGTCACAACCATAGATTTGCTTGATATAACACACATAGTTCTCATTTGCTAATAATATGTAAATGAATTTAAAAAATCCCTTTCAGATTTATTCTATCAAAAAAGAAGTGGTTATGAATAGAGCAACTGTGCCATCACATTTCACACTGAGGCAGGAGAGTCCACCAGCCTCATGTCCTTATTCAGCGTCACCAGGAGAAGTCCTTGTAGCCTAAATCACATTACTACACACACAGTGGTGCCCCATGTTTTCAGTTTATATGTCCTTTAAGACTAATGATGTGGAGAATTTCTTTGTATATTTAATAGCCATGGGGATAGCATCTTTGCTGAAGTAACTGCTAACCTGTTTCTCACTATTTCTACAATTAAATTATTTGCCTTATTTTTGAACTGTAAGAATTCCTTATAGATACAGATTACAAGTAAGTATCATACAAATAATTTTTACTGGTTTATGGCTTATCTTTTCTTTGAAATGAAAATGTTTTTGAGTTGGGCATGGGTGGTGTATGCCTTTAATCCCAGCACTCGGGAGGCAGAGGCAGGTCAAGCTCTGTGAGTTCAAGGCCAGCCTGGTTTACAGAATGAGTTAAAGAACAGCTAGAGCTACACACAGAGAAACCAGAAACCTTGTATTAGAACAAAACAAACAAACAAACAAACAAACAAACAAACAAACAAACAAACAAACAAACCAAAACCCAAACAACTACCACAACAAAAATGTTTTGGATAAGGGGTCTTGCTGTGTGGTACAGGCTAGCCTCAAACTTAGTTCTCTTGTCTCAGTCTCCCAGAAAAGTGCTGGGATTACAGGAATGAGATACAATACCCGGGTGGCCTTTTGGAAATGGGGGTGAGGAAGGGTGTGGGAGAGAATCTCATGCAGTCCAGGCTGGCCTTCAACTTGCTATGTGGCCAAAAATCAGCTTGGATGTTTGATGGTCTAATCCCTCTTCTTCACAAATACAGGATTATATCTATATACCATTACACACCCAGCTTCTCTTTGCATTACAAAAACTTTAAGTCACATTTATTTATTTTGTGTATGTGTGCATGGGAGCACAAGCATGTAAATGTATGTATAAAGGTCAGAGGTCAATTTGCTGGAGTTGTGTTTCTCCTTCCAACCATGTGTATCCCAGGGATTGAATATAGGTCATTGTGCTGGCTAGCTTTATGTCAACTTGACACAAGCTAGAATTACCCAAGAAGAAACAACTGTGCTTGAGAAACTGATCTCATAGGTTGGCCTGTAGGTAAGTCTGCAGGTAAAGTCTTGATTAATGACTTATGTGGGAGGGCTCAGCCCATAAGAAGCGGCACAACCTCTTGGCCAGTGGGCAATATAAGAAAGCCAGCTGGGCAAGACTTGAGGGACAAGCCAGTAAACAGTACTCCTTCATGGCCTCTGCATCAGCTCCTGCCTCCAGGTTCCTGACTTGTTTGAGTTACTGCCCTGACTTCCTTCAATGATAGACTGTGGTGTGGAAGTGTAAACCAATAAACCATTTCCTCCCCACCTTGTTTTTGGCATGGTGTTTTATCACAGCAATAGAAACTCTAAGACAGTTGTCACACTTGGTAGCAAGTACCTTCACTAGCTATCTTGCCTGGCCCATAAAGAAGCAGGCTATATTTAATGCTCTTTTTCATTGTTTCATTTCTTGTATGCTGTTTATTTCTCTCATTGCTTGATTTATTGCTTTATAGATATACTTTAAAAATATTTTGACACAACCAGATTTTATTGGGTGAGTTAAAAAATTAAAACGTTGTTTTCTTAACCTTCCATTTATCTTCATTTTGTCCCAGGCTTCAGATTTCACAGCCAGTTTTAATACTGGTAATTTAAATGATAAGCATGTTCATTTTTTCTATTCTTAATAACACATTTTTTTTTTTTTTTTTGTGAGACAGGGTCTTACTCTGTAGCCCAGACAGGCTGGCTAAGAACTCATGGCAATTTTCCTGCCTCAGCTTCCCAAGTGCTTGCATTACAGGTATAAGCCAACACACATATCTGTTTTTATGTTTTTGATGAGTAAGAAATAACTTTGAAAAAGAATCATGAATGTAAGTAGACAAATACTTAGACTTAATTTCTAGTAATAAGACATAGTATTTTTTTAGTATATATTTGTGAGAAAATATAACATATGCCGCATATAAATAGAAACATAAAACACTCACATTAATGTCAATTTTCTTTTCACCCCAGAAACCATAATCAAGAAAATGTACTTTGCCAGGCATGGTGGCACATGCCTTTAATCCCAGCACTTAGGAGGCAGAGGTAGGCAGATCTCTGAGTTCAAGGCCAGCCAAGCAAGAATAGAATCAGGAAAAATAGGAAAAGCCATAGCTAAGGAGCCACCAACAGGTACACAAGAATTTGACAATGAGCAGTTGTTACAATGGAGATAGAATGGTGGGTGCAGTTAAGGGCTGAGGCTCTAACATCAGATTGGTTAAAGGCTTTGGGACAGTTCCTCATCTCCCTGTGACAGTTTTCTCTATCTGTAAACCTAGTATGACCTCATAGGGCTGCTGTGTGTACTGTGCAAAGTGTGTATATGTGTAATGTATATTGACAGAGTATCTACACACTGTGTGCGTGCAAACGTTCATTTGAAGAAATTTAAAATTCACACAAAAAAGGTGCATTTGCTGATGGAGGAGCTACAAGCATTTTTAGCCACAAAAGCAAATACAGTATTTGTTTATGAAGTCAATTAAACCCCAGGGAATCTCTTCAGTGGTTAACCAGGAAACTTTAGTACCTTCTAAGGAGAAGGCACTACTAGTCTATAATTCTGTGGTAATCACTACAATAATTTTTCATCATGTCCGTGTTTAAAATAATGAAACTTAGAAACAGCCTAGGATTTTAGCAGCCAGGGACTGATGAAATTTGCTAAGTTATAGAAACCAAATGCTAGCAGTGGTTTACATCTGAGTGATAAAAGAAGTAATTTTTCCCCAATTGATTAATTTTATGATACATATTTAAGCTAGGTAATGTATTAGTATAATATATATATATATATATATATATGTACATACATACACATATATACAGTAAAACTGCTGTTTTATGAAACCAATAAAGTCATACAGTCATATCCAGGTATAGTTATAATCTATTCATTTGTTCTTGGATACATTTTACTCTTACTGACTACAGTCCTCACACCGTTCATGAGGTGCTATGGCACTATATATCTGCTACTGTGTCTCCTTTGAACTGCATCTCCCTATCCCCCACCCATCATCCTATAGATGAATTTTTCTTAAATGGCCCTGGGGATCCTATATAGAGCCTCGCCCATGTGAGGCTACATATTAATACCCCCATATCCCCAGTTTTTGAAACGTAAATCTTTTAACTGTGTTTTCTATATTTTTTAGAAATTTTATTTTTGGTCACCACAGAGAAATACATGGTAAGAATACCAGTCTCAATGACACTGAGATGCCTACATTAACACGCACACTAAACACAGAGGTGACCACGAGTCTGAACTATGTTGAGGCCTCAGGACTGCTTGGAGCTTTAGCTTTCTAATATACACAATGGAGGGAGAAGAGTGAATGGCCACAGTCCCTTCCCATTTTAGAAGCCTAAAAGCTAGGCTTCGTGAACTAGGAAAAGAAGATCAATCAAACTGCACAGAGCTTATTACCTCCCCTGCAAGTTTTCAAGCATCTCCTGGGCATTTTTGAGTAATATGAAAACTGAAAATTGAATAGCTGTGCACTCTGATTAAAATACAGAACCATCAGTGTCGGGGCAACGTTCACAACAATACTGGTATTTAGAAAAATTAATGAACAATGAAGGGAAAACATAAACTGTCAAATTAGACTAAGTCTTTAGAACTATCTAAATGACTGCATCCTGCCACTGTCTTGGTTTCCTTTCTACTGCTGTGAGAAAACACTGACCAAAGCAACAAGTAGCTCTGGTTTGTGTCTGTCTGACAAAAAAACAAACCCAGTACCACCATGAACCCCTTGTAATATACTTAGTGACAGGCACAGTAAGGAAGACTGGAAGTCCTCACTGACTGACCTATGTTTGTGGAAGGACACTTACCCTGTCCGATGCATAGACAGCATCAAATAGTCCCAGAAGGGTGACGGAGATTCCTACGGCTGGGCCATTTACTACTGCAACCAGAGGCTTGGGGAAGTCTATAAAACTGTTCACAAAATCCCTAAAAAAATGGAAATAGGAAAGTATTAAACCTCCCAAAGTAGTACAACTATAGAAAGAATTACATACATTAAAGCTGATACCACCCTAACGGATCACTTTCCTAGACCAAACCAAGATCTTAATGGAAGGTCAGACCGACTTCTACAAACTGAGCCTGATTCACTGTTTTCTGGGCAGTGAGTTCAGGACTTGTGTGCCAGTTGTGTGTGACCTGAGAGCTTATGATGAAGACTGAGTGCATGGTGCCATATTACAGAACCGGGGACTCAGAGACTCAACAGAACTGGGAAGCCGAAGCCTCAAACCTCCTTCATCACCTCCTGAGACTACTCCTGGTGTACTGCTAGCATTCATAGGCACTGTCTATTGACCCCATGCACGAGAACGCACACTCCCTCTGCTTCCTTCTCTCCTCACACTTTCCAGTCAATCTCCTGTAGAGGGCAGGATGAAGAGGGGGATCTGATGAGAACTCACAGCTAAGAGCATCAGCACAGACAAGTGGACGTTTTACTGACATGTTAAGAATGAACCCTCTTGGGGGGCTGAGGAGAGGACTCATCCTTTAAAACATCTGCCAATCAAGTACAAGGACTACAGTGAAGTTTGGATCCCCAGAACCTGCATAAACTCTGTGTGGGTGTGGAGGCCTGCTTGTAATTCTGACCTCAAAAGGTGGAGATGGGAACCTAGAGCAGGCTGGCTGGCATGACTAGCCATGAGTGAGCTCTGGGTTGGAGAGATCTTGTTTCAGCGAATAAAGTGAAAGAATGTACTGCCTAGTCTTGGGTCAACTTGGCACATGTTATAGTCATTTGGAAAGAAAGACTCTCAACTGAGAAAATGCCTCCATAATATTGGGTATAGGCAAGTCTACAGCACATTTTCTTCATTACTGACTAATATAGATGGCCCAGGCCATTGTGGGTGGTGCCATCCCTGGGCTGGTGACCCCAGATGCTATGAGAAAGCAGGCTGAGCAAGCCAAGAGGAAGCAAGCGAGTGGGAAGTTCTCCTCCACTGTGTCTAGATTGGTTCCAGCCTTCAAGTTCCTGCACTGGTTTCCTTTGATGATGGACTATGCTGTGGAATTGTAAGAGAAATAAACCCTTTACTCCCCAAGTGTTTTTTGGTCTTAACTATGACAAAAAGCAATGAAGAGTTCTGACATCAGCCTTAGACCCACATGCACATGCATGCACTCATACTCACACACTTGCACACCACAAGCAGACTCATGTAAGTGGGGGGGAGGGGGGAGGATTAACCCCCTAGGAGCAAACAAACGTCACTCTTACCTCAGGACCACAGCACCCTTGTCAGCTGCCTCCTCCATCCCTCCAGCAGCACTCGTGAAGTTAGTCAGGTCATTGCCGCTGCTGTAGTAGTCGCCGGATCCTGTGGACAGTGCAATCAACAGAGCCACGAGTCCTTCATGTACTCATTCATTCTAGAGCTCTCGTATATCTGCAGAGGGCTCTGAGCCAGGCCCTAGGAGAACACTGGTGAGTCTCATTTACACACTAGGGACTAGCAAGACATGGGTGTTAAAGAACATAAGTAAATGAAGATGGTGCAAGAACAACATGACAGATGGAACAGGGCTGGTCTATTGGGGTGTTTAGGGCACCTCAAAACATTCCAGATGTTCTTTCTAGCCTGCCATTCCAACTGCCCCAATGAAATTACTTTCAGACTCCATCAACAGAGTAGAACTTCTGTCCAATACAGTAAGACTTATGTAACTGGACTGAACAATATGCTCTCTGCATTTCATTGATTCCGCTAAGCCACGCTATAAATGCTATCTATATTTTTGCATGTCTCAAGCATTTGTTTCTTTTCATTGCCGAGCAGAGTTCTACAGATAGTTATAAGTTAACCTGCTTTTGGACAGATGAGTTGTTTCCTGTCATGGTTCTTGTGACTCATACCATGAGCTTTACTTGATCAGTCAGGTTTAGACTGGCGATTTATCAGGAATAATTATCAAAGTGTGGTTATATGATGTCCATGATAACATGGCACATTTATAAATCAAACCACTGAAGCACTGGAAAAGACCTTCAAGCGATTATCATTCAGTTCTCTACCTAGTGAGAGACTCCCTAAAATAGAAAATGAGTAAGTCTGAAAGTGGTCTTCTTACCTGTGAAAACAGTTAGGGCTGTGTCGTCTGTGCTGGCATTTTTAAGTGCAAGGATAATATCCTGATACATCTATGTGAACAGAAAGATAGGGGAAAGAACAATAAAAATGAGATCTATCATCCTGAGCCAGTGTAGCCGTCTGTAGACCTTCTCTTGACACAGTGCCAAACAAAGTAATTGGTTTTTTTTAAAAGTATTTGTTTTAGTTTATATGCATCAATGTTTTGCCTCATGTATGTTTGTGCTCTGTGTAGCACCTGGTGCTTTTGGAGGTCAGAGGTGGGTGACTCAGGGTTTATGATCCCGTAAGGGGGCCTCTGTGTATCTCCTATCAATGCTCTTTCACTCAGACTGATTTAACTGACTTGTGCTTCCATTCATAGCAAAGCTTCATTGCCTTCTGGATATGTAGAACCTACTGAAAACTCACACATAAACAAATGCCTAAGTCTGCCGAATGAAAGCAAACACTCTAATCTTTTTCCACAAGAGTAGAAACAATGCTGAAATCCTACAGTTGCGTGAGTGAAAGAAATAGAAGAAGAGAGAAATGTGTCCACGCCCTGGGCAGTAGCATCACCTGGAAGCTTATGGCGTTCTTTTTGGTGGGCCGGTTGAACATGATCTTCGTGATGCCATCTTCAGAGGTTACCATGATGCCTTTAGACTCCTGGACTTTCTCATCGGCTCCACGCTTTCCCTGGCTAGAGGCTTCAGATGTGGGACCCAAACTGGATACGAGATCCACATAGTTCTGCCTGGCAGTTTCCTGAAGAGTAGATGACAAACCCCTTCAGTCCTTTATAATGAGCAGTTTAAGAAACATACTATGCTAATAAACACTATGCAGTAAAGAACAGAGGCTTTGATTCAATAGAGCGACATCCCAACTTTAGCGGCAGTGGGAGAGGTGAGCCTTATGTGTCATTCTAGCCTCTGGGAGGCTGAGGCAGGAGGACTGTTGAGTTCAAGGCCAATGTCAGCTACAATTTTGAGGGGAAAAAATAAAAACATTTCAAAGGCTCATCGATGGAGATTTGCTGGGAAGCACACAGTGCTTCTAGTGCTGTCTAGTTAGTAAGAGTAAACAGGCTTACCTTTGGTAGGCTGCCCAGGGCATTCCACGCATCCCACTTGGCTTTATTGACAAAGTCAAACACACCTGGCTTAGGCACCTTACAGGGTCCTTCTGTGGCCTGAAAAGAGCACAGGGGTGATTCATACCCAAGAGGAAGCTGTGGAGAAACTGGTTCTAGAAACCTGAGTGTTCATCAATTTTGTATTCTTGACCTCGGTTTCCATAGGCAGTGAGCCAATTTCCAAAAGTTACAGAACATTTGCAAGTCCACACTGTATTCTGAAGCCCTATCTATGGGGATAGGACCAGAAATTTAGTGGTAAACTCCTACTAATTGCTCAACAGGGCTGCAGCTGCTTGCAGATAAGGATGGGGTCTTACAGTTCCTGGCCCTCGGTTCCTGGTTCTCAGGAAGCTTAGCTGAGGGCGACTCCAGGAGATACAAAGAAAACTGATTTTGTTATAGGGTAGGTAGAGTGAATAGCCAGAGATGAATAAAATACACCAGTCAGCAGTCAGCTACTTGTCAGAAGTGATTTTAGACAATTTAAACTTTCTACATTTTGGAATAGAGTTAGTTAACAGAGGACAGAAGAGGCTTTGGAAACCATGGGCAGCGGAGGCTCTGACTTCACACAGACAAATTCACAGTCAGCCATCTGGGAAGCTACAGGGGACCAAGTTCGCAAAGGGCTGCTCTTCCCTCTGCCACTGGGAACCTAAGGACCTGCGGGAGACTTCAGATCTTGGCTTCTATTTGTTCCTAGTCCTTGCATTTCTTCAGAGGGGCCAGAGAATACCTCCTAGAAGCTGAGGGCAAAGTCTTTTTTGAACAAGTAAAATTTTTGAACATACACATCCATTTCCTTAGGATGTCTATTGCTGTGATAAAATACTATGACCTTGAGTTTTGGGAGGGCAGGGTTTATTTCGGCTCACAACACTCAGGTCTCACTCTATCAGTCATAAAAGTCCAGGCAGAAAATGCAGACAGGAACCTGGAGACAGCAACTGAAGCAGAAGACGGGGTTCAGGGCATATGTGGGGACGGGGAGTAGGAATGCTACTCACTGGCTTGCTCAGCCTGCTCTTTTATATATTTTACATTAATTAATCATCAACAGAATGCTCCAGAATTGGAGGCAAATGACTAGCATATGCTACCTTAACAAAACAGAGCAAACTGAAACAGCCAAGACACCCATGATTAAGAGACACCCAGTAGAAACGATGAAAGGAATAAATGATGACACAGGAGTCCAGGCTGGCAGAGATATGAATGAAGTCTGTCACTCCAACCTTTTGCCCCTCAATGGTTATAAAATTTTTCAAACATTCACAAGTATATGAGCTACACTATACAATTAATCAGTTAAACAGTTATTACATTTTACCTTGTCTTCACCCATTTTTATCTTTTAATTTCAAACATCCAGACACCACACTATTCATCCTTAAATATTAACTATCCATTTCCAGAAACACCCATAATTTACTGTATAATAATGGAACCAGGCAGGGCTCTGCCAAATAAAAGTTGGTAAAACTCAGTCCATATTCAAATTTCCCCAATTGCCCCCAAAAAACCTTTTCAGTGAATTACTCTCATCAGAAAGGACTCAAGCAGAGACCAAACATGAGAATGCTGTATCTTTCAAATCTCTGTATTCTGGAGAGAAGCCCAGGGGGCTGGCTACTCTGTGCTTGGATAGCATATCAAGGCCTAACATAAAAAGCAAAACAGAACAAAGCTTGCACACGTACACCCCAACGGGGACTCAGCCATGCCACCTTGCCTGTTATAACCTGTCTAAGCTACATGTTAGAAACACATAACTTCAGGCATCATTTGCTCAAAACGTGTTTAAATAATTTCAGACCTCAGGCTATTATTACCTGCTTATACAGTGCGTAGAGTTTCAGCTTCACTTCGTTTCCCGGGTCCTCCTTCAAGAGTTTCACTCGGTTCATTGCATTTTCAAAGTCCTGCTGACTGGCTCTCATGGTTGGTCTGCCGAGGTGCACCTGAGCCACTGGAAACCTAAAGAGCTGCTGGAGACTGAAAACAGTGCTTCTGTTTGTTCTTAGCCCTTCATTTCTGCAGCTGATTGACCCCAACCCCTACTGATCAGAACGGAATGCTTATCTACGTACGACACTGTTTCTAAGTGAACAACTTCCCACAAACGGCAGTGCAAACTTACTCAAATGAAGTGTAAGTTTTGCCTTTTGAGAAAGCCACGCAGGCCACCGTTTTATGACAAGCACCAGGTGCCAGGCTTTGCTCCTGGCCTGTAACATACAGGTCACGCTATCCAGCCACTTTTACACAACGAACCGACTGTTTGAAACCCATGCTGGCGATAACGAACTGGGCATCCGCGGCGCTCAGCTAACTAGAAATCTTGAGTGTAACGTCACCTTAGACAATGCAATGCATGCCCTAGGAAGTTCCCGGGCTGGGCCTGCAGGCCCGGACGCCGCCGGGACCCGAGCTCGCAACATTCCCTGGTGGGCGGAGGCGACAAGAGCCTGGTCCATCCTTACCCTTCGGGATTCAGTGGAAGAAGGACATTCGAGGTCACTCTTTAGAGTTCTCTCCCAGGGACACTGCCACAGGAATATCCTGCTGTCCTGCTAGCCAGACCAGATGACAACAGAGCGGGCGGCTCCGCACGTGGGCGACAAACCCCGCTGGCGACTTTGGTCCGCACAGCCGTGGAGTCAAGCTTACCTCGGACACCAGCACCGCGCCCGACTCCAGATCACCGCCGCCATGGCTAGATGCGGAGGTCAAACTGAGCCCCGAAGCTTAGAAGGGCCCAGCTGAAACTACTGGGCGGACTGGGACCGGGCGGAGCTAGAGGTGAGCCCCGGGCGTAGGCGGAGCCAGGCGTCAGGGGCGGAGCCAAGTCTCAGGGGCGGAGCCAGGAAGTGAGCTAGGGCGCTGAGAGGACCCTGGGACTAAAGGACTGGCAGAGCCGAGCTGGGATAGCCCAGGGCGGGGGTGTGAGAATGGGCGGGTTTCAGGGAGGAGCCTAGAATCCCTGGACCAGGTCCAACTCTGTACATAGGTGACTGGCACAAAGCCTGGCAAAGAGGGCCGGAAGCAGGGCACTGGGCTCTGGGAATTTTAATCAGAGAGCCTCGGCATATGCATTTAGAAACCGGACCATTTCTCAGCATGTTCAGTTAGGGGCACCTTCCTGAGCACACTCAGTTCAAGGTCATGGAACATATGTTTAAAAGATTAAATGGAGAAGAATGCCTCTGGACATGCTTATCTTGCACAAGAAACTTTACGCTAAACATGAAAGAACACTGTATAAGCTGTATTAATGTAGGCGTTTGTCCCTGAAGGTGCCTGGCTTGTTTAGCAACTGATTAATGGTACTGGGAGCAGAGTAAACAAGGCTCAAGATTGGGGTTGGGGTGGGCCACTTCTGAATGAAAGGGAACCACTGTGAGTTGGGTAGCACTCCTTTTGCGTGTGAGGATTACCGTGGCCATCCTAGGGAGTTTGGAGTCTGTGCTAGGAGTACTAGGGAGCCATGGAAGATTTAATCGGTGGGGCTAGAGAGTTGGCTCAGCGGCTTGAGAACCCCTGTTGCTCTTGCAGAGCATCCGGGTTTGTTTTTCTCTGAATCTACACATTGGCTCACAACCATTCCTAACTCCACTTCCAGGGGAACAGACCCCATTTTCTGACCTCTGCAGGCACCAAACACAGATGGTATGGACACATACAGGTACGCAAAACCATTCACATATAAAATAAACAAACAGATAAATAAAGTTAAATACATTTTTTAAAAGATCCAATTGGCATACTTTTTACCTAGTTCTCAGTTCAGGCAATGATGCCCAGCACATGCCTGGTTTTGTTTCTGGACTAGAGTAAGAATGGCACAATCCTTCTCAAGAACTCAGCCAGAGTTCTGATCTCCACTTTGTTGTACGACCGGGGCCTCCTGGTTCTTAGGAAGACCTTGGAGAAGGAGGTGTCTAGTTCAATTCTATCCAGTTATTCTTAGCTCGACTGCAGGTGACCAGTGCTGCCTAAGAAGGGGTTTGATACAGAGTCGTCACAGGAGTCCAGGAGGTATCTTCATTGACACTGAGTCTTGGGGGTTGTAGGTCACAGTGTCTGCTCAGTGTTTGGGGAGATGTTTTGTGAGGACTGTGAACCTGTCAGCGATGGTTTTTACTTATGATATTAAAGACACTGGATCATGTTATTATTAGAGCATATAACATCCTACCACATATACTGTCAGGATTAATTTTAATAATGTGCAATCAACAGTGAAAGCTAGAAATCTGAAAGAAGTCTGAATCCCCTCTGTCTCACTGCTGGCTCCCTTCTGTGGATCCGCTGTCCTTTCACAGCTGCTTCTTGCCTTTTTTCCTCCTTCGCCCGAAATTTCCTTTATTCGTTCAGTCTTTCTTTCAGGCTTCACTGTTTCAACATTGCCGTTACTTGACCAGTCTTGACCGGGTTTGCTCTGATTCCCATCTCTCCATTTTCTTCCTGCTCTGACTGATTTCCCTACATTGTAAACTTGTCTGTGGCACTCTGAACTGTTCCTCCCCATCCCCGCGTTCATGTTTGTAAAACTTCATCCCCCAGTTACTGTGTTGATAGCATTTGGATGTAAGGACCTTGAACAAAGATTAAAGTTAGACATTAACATGCAGTGAAGGCCCTGGGCAGTTGCCAGAACCTTGACAATTAGACTTCCCAGGTTCCAGAATGCTGAACTGGCTTCTGTTGTCTGTAATGTATCCAGTTGGTGGCTTTTGGTTGTGGAAAAATAAAATGGACCAGGATGCTGTCATGACTTACAATGTTCTCTTGATCCTTCCTCTGTCACTGGAATATGTGTGGGTCCTTTTGCCTAATAAGTAAACCCAAAGTTCTTAGTGTAGCACATAAGGCCTTTGAGATTTGTCTCATAATTTCTAATCATCTCTCATGCTTGCTCTTTCCATTTCATTCATTCACTCATTCATTTATTCATCATGTTAGTTTTTTGAGTCAGTCTCACTATGTATCTCAGGCTGGATTCAAAGATGGGTGATCCTCCTGCCTCTGCCTCTTCGGTTCTAGGATTATAAATTTGCATCATGGTACTGAACTCTTTTTTTTTTTTTAATTTAAAAATATTTGTTTTGAGACAACATCTCATGATAAAGGCTTCACTCGAGGTTGTATTAATCCTCCAGTTTCAGTCTTTTAAGTGCTTGGATTACAGGAGGATATCCCTGTCTGCTCTGTCCATTTAGAAATGGATGCACAGCCTCTCTGGGTTTCTGCAGCCCATGATTTCTCAGTGCAGACACTGTTTTATGTGGGAAATCTCTGACCCCTCACTGGTTCCATTCTCCTCCTGTGATTCTACTCTTTCCAGGGCTGCTCTATTTCCTAGGATGGATGTCAGTAAGTTTATTTCTGATTAGCAACTTTTTCATCCCTCGCTTGACAGGAAACATGGCGGATTTTTTTTTTTTTTGGTGGGGTGGTAGAGAGGCCAAAGACTTTCTCAGAGGCCCTGTTGAAAAGACAACCAGAACTTTAGTTCTGTGTCCTTGTCCAGGGGTGAACCTAAAAATATTTAAGGCTGCAGTTTCTGGTGACATGACCCTTCTCTCAAGGCTGTAATGATCAGTCCTAACTCAGCTCTGTCTGAGGTATCATGTGTTCTTTTTTCCAATATTATCTGATTTGACTCTGTGCTGACCTTGGCAATTTTCTTCCTGATAGCAATATATAGGACTTTGAACTTGTTAAGAAACTTTCTTGCAATAAGCCATAAGCTCATGCAAGACCTCCTGGTCCTAGGTATTGCTTTTGTTTTCTTCATTTCTGATCCCAAGTCCTCCTATTTGAAACTTAGCTGTTTGGGACTCTTATTCCTGAATTAGAATTGAGGGGTCAAGTCATTCCGTTGAGTGTAAAAGAACTGTTGAAAGTTTCTGTCTAGCCTGTGTGTTTCCACACGCAATGACAACCTCGGGGTCAGTTGCCTCCTTTTCTGTAGGCAGTCAGAAGGTGTTAAATAAAGTCACTCTGCCTACAGGTATTTCTTTTACAGTGAGTCACAGCTCAAGCAAAGGAATTGGACTTTTTGCCAGGTTCCTATATTGAAAGCACCAGGGAAAGTGGTACCAAGGAAACTGTGATGTTCACCTGTATTTGCAGGGGGAGGGGCCTATTATGACTCCATTAGTCACAAAGATTCTTTGTGCTCTTTCTTCTCTCCCGTGCTTCCTGCTTCACTTTCATGATGCTGCTTGAGATGAATTAAACATGGGTAACAGAACTGGCCAGACTTATGCTTCTGTCTGTCTTTCCAGTCCACCCTCATCTTTTCCCTAATCTTTTGTTGTTGTTTTTAGATTAAGTCTCCTGTATTTCAGGCTTACTTCAAACTCTACTTAGCTACAGATGACCTTGAACTTCTGGCCCTCCTGCCTCCTCTTGCCAAATGCTTGGATTATTTGCAGCACTGAGGATTGAATCCAGACAAGAACTGTACCAGTTAAGCTGAATCCTCAGTCATGCCACTACAACTTTTTGTTTTGTTTTGTTGCGTTGTGTTCTAAGGCAGAGTTTTACTATGTAACCTGGACTGTCCTCAAAGCCTTCTTGTGCCTCAGTGTCACCAATGTTTGAGTTACAAGTGTGCACCAGGCCTAACCTCCTCTTTCTCTTGTCCCCTCTATCTCCTTTTCCCTCTTCTTTCTCCTCCCTGCTTCCTGTCAACGGAGGGTCTTGCCACATAGTCCAGATTGTGCTTTATATGAGGATTGTTCAGTCTTTCTGGCATTACAGCTGTATTCAATATGACAAAGGGTGTTCTAAAGCCTAAAGTCATCACTCTGTAACGATCCTTTCCTTTCTCATCTCATATAGATTCAGCTTCAAACAAATAAAGATGTCTTTAACACTAGTCCAGAGGTCAAGGATTAATTGATTTTGATGGTAAAGAAGAGAAAACCGAGATAAGAGTTATTGGGAGTAAGGCACCTCCCCCGACCAGGGGAAGGGCTCTTCCCGTTGTCTCATTGTAACCCCTGTGTGACTTACCATCCCCCTTTGATCCAGTAAGGCCCTGAAGATGGAGATCTGAGACAGGAAAGACTTCTGTTTTCCTTAGGCCTTCTAACCAGCTGCGGGAATGAACCTGATACAGCTAACAGGGTAGCCTGATGCTCATCTTCAAGGAGGAAGAGAGCTAATCGATGTGAGAGGCAGAGGAGCTCCTTCATGACTCAGGAGACAGAAGAGTCTCCCCTTGCCTCATCTGCTGGATGAGTGAGAATGAAGCAGCTAGTGAGTTTACTGATGAAGCAGGAAGACAAGAGACGCTTGAGTGGAATCAAGCACCTGCACCAGGAGACGAATGCCCATATGTGCCTTGGCAGTAGCTGTGTGTGACCTGGGGGCCATGAGGCTAATAAGCTGTGACTGAATGTAGATGTCAGAGAAAATCTGTGCTGCTGAACTCTCTCTCATCTACAGAATTCAGCCCCTGAGGAGGAGACAGTGTTGAAGGTGTTCTGCGCATGCTTGATGCTGGAGAAGGGTGTGCTAGTAGAGAGAGAACGCTGATCAGTGGGACCTTTACTAACACCTTGATCACAAGAGGGTGAACTAAGGCTTATACCATCTTAAACAGTCTTTTGGGATGCCCTCAGAAAGTCCAGCTCAGCTCCATTTGCAGGTTTTGGGGCTCATTATGCAGAAGCTCCAGGGTGTGAGCCAGTGAGATGGAAATTAGAAGTAGGAAAGTGAGGGGGAGGCATGTTCTCTGTTTTTTAACTAGCTGTCCTGCCTAAGGCCACCAGGAATAAATTTATTTCCTTCTGATACTGCC